AAGGTGCTAGAATATGTGATCTGAAGTCTATCTTGTGGTCTTTTATGTACATTCATTACTTTTCCTTCTCTGTTTTCCTATCCAGAAAAATGAGGAGGTCTCTTCCTTTGGAGAATGCTGTTCCTCCATTACAAATGACATTTTAATAAACAAACAAACAAACAAACAATTAGCTATATTACCTGCAGTTGTTTGCTGACCAAATTGTTACCAAAAGTCAGAGTATAAGTCTCCTGGTCCAAGAGCAGAGCCATCCAACCATGCAGGTTTGATAAAGTATCAGAGACGTAATGGACTGTGGTTGTCTTATTCTTACTGTCAGTCACCGTTAAATTATAAGGAAAGTCTGGAGCCTCTTTCCTGGGAAAAAAATACATTCCATCTGTGTTCAATGTAACATTTCATATTATTATTATTACATTTTATTTGTTTTACGGTAGCACATGGAGGCCCCATCTGGGATGGGGGTACATACCGTTGATACCTTAAATAGACAAGGAAGACAAAGGTGTGCAGAGGAAACAGAGATGAAGTGACTTTCCCAAGGTTCCATGGAAGATCTTTGGTAGAACCAGGGATAGAAGCCTTTGGTCTCCCAGTTGGCCTCCTGCTAGACCACATTTTCTGAATCAGGGAGAGGTAGGTCTTCCACATTCCAGTTACATGCCCTCACCAATTGTTTAGTGTAGGTCATGTTTCTCACTCTGTCATGATCTCATGGTGGGGTGGGGGGAGGTTTCCATGAAAAATTTCTAAAGGTCTGATATAAAATGAAAACAAATGTCCAAAACTTCAACATTTTTCACAATTCTTCTTTCCAGCAAGCCCCAAAGATTACTCAGTTGATTAATAGGCCTTCTCCACAGACCATTCCTACAGCCAGAACAAGAATATACCTGAATTGTGTGACATCTAGGATATTACCTCAGCTATTTTTCAGTCATCAGGACCTGATCCAAAGCCTGCTAATGTTAGTGGGATTTTTTCAATTGATTTCAATGGGTCCTCAGACGTACGGTCTGGAAACTCTGCATTCTATCCCTAGTTCTGTCACTTATCTTCTCCTTGTTTCAATTATTCCATCTCTAAAATGCACATACCTAATTCACAAAGCTGGCATGAAGCTTAATTTACTGGAATCTCTATCGCACTGTGAGATCGTCAGATGAAAAACACTATGGTCCATAAGTACAACACATGTTTTTCCACAGTGTTCACTTCTTGGGGGGTAGCAAATCTATGAATAATAATCTATAAAAAGGACATTAAGCAATAGGAAGCATAAGTCTTTCAGGCTCACGAGTATCTTTTTCAGCTGCTGCATAAAAGAGGAGATTTTAAAGCGAGCTTGTGACTCTCTCACTATTTGGTTAGTTCAACTCCTCATGAAACAGGTGATGATTTCAGGGAGCCATTTATCCAAACAAAATGTTTTTAAAAAGTACTTCTCTCATTTGCTATTTCTTGCCTAACGCCAGTCCAGTCCATCAAAAATTGTTCAACATCCTATAGTATTAATGACTACATTTGTGGGAGTGAGACCTGTTGTAATAAAGATGACTGAATTCTACTGCTACAAAGAATTAGACTGAAAGGCTACGTCTATACTGAAGGCTTTTTGTGCAAGAACTGTTTTGTGCAAGAGTTCTTGTGCAAAAGATCTTGCATAAGAATGCAGCCGCACTGCCATGTGCTTTTGCACAAGAGCGTTCATGGCAGTGTGGATGCTCTCTTGCGCAAGAAAGCTCTGATGGCCATTTTAGCCATAGAGGTATCATGCCCAAGAAACTCCTGTTGCCCATCCACACTGCCTTCTTGTGCAAGAGCTCTTGCGCAGGAGGGCTTATTCCTCATGGGAAGAGGAATAACTTTTGCACAAGAAGCCCTCTTTTCTGACGTTTTACTGTAAATTTACTTGTGCAAGAACATACGTGCAGTGTAGACACTCTGCAAGTTTTTGCACAAGAACGGGTGTTCGTGCACAAAAAGCCTGCAGTGTAGACGTAGCCAAAAAGTATAGCTTGAATGATTAGATTCACCCATAGTGAGTACCCCAAAGTTCCTAAATAGCTTTCATCACAAGGCAGCACACTCTTCCCCTTACTGCCCCTCAAACAATAAAAACATATAGTGGCCATAATGAGTCATGCCAATGTTCCATCTGTCTCAGTATCCTGTCTTCCAACAGTGAGCAATGCTAGCTTCTTGAGAGGGAATTAACAGAATTAACAGAACAGGCAATCACTGAGTCACTTGTAACTTACTCTCTGTCAGTCACACTAGAAACATGCAGAGCATACGGTTGCATCCCTGACCATCTTGACCAATGGCCACTGATGGACTTATCCTACATGGACTTACCTAGTTCTTTTTTGAAGCCTATTATAGTTTTGGCCTTCACACCATCTCTTAGCAATGAGTTCCACAGGTTTACTGTGTGCCATGGGAAATAGTACTTCCTTTTGTTTGTTTTAAACATGCCATCTATTAATTTCATTGGGTGACCACTGGTTCTTGTGTTATGTGAAGGAGTAAATAATATTTCTTTATTCATCTTCTCTACTCCTGTCTTTTATAGACCTTTATCCCTTCTTAGTCATCTCTTTTCCAAGTTGAAAAGTCCCAGCCTTTTTAATCTTTCCTTGTATAGTGCCCTTTTCTGTACCCTTTCCAATTCGACTATATCTTATTTGAGATTTTTTTTTCTTACCAGAAATGCACCAGTATTCAAGGTGTGAGTATGCCATGGATTTACATACTGGAATTATGTTTTCTGTCTTATTATCTATCCTTTTCTTAATGGTGCCTAACAATCTGTTAGCTGTTTTGACTGCTGCTTCATGTTGAACAGATGTTTTCAGAAAACAGACCACAATGGCTCCACATTCTTTTTCTTGAGTGGTAACAGCTATTTTGCAGCCCATCAATTTGTATGTATACTTTGGATTATGTTTTCCAATGTACATTATTTTGCATTTATCAGCATTGAATGTTATGTGCCATTTTGTTGCCCACTCGCCCAGTTTTGTAAGATCCATTTGTAACTCTTTACTGTCTGCTTTGATCTTAACTGTGTTGAGTAATTTTGTATTGACTGCCAATTTTGCCACCTTCCCGTGTACCTCATTTTCCAGATCATTTATGAATATGTTGAAGGGCCTGTTCTCAATGCAGACCCTGGAGAATACTGCTATTTACCGGTCTCCATTCTGAAAGCTGGCCACTTATTCCTACTCTTTGTTTTCAGGCTTTTATCCAGTAACTTATCCTGGAAATACACTTTCGGACATTTAGAAAAAAAATTTAACAGTTTAAACTGATCTCAGTCATTTTTGTTGGTCAAAATGACAGTTTCCTAACTGGAAATGTTATAGTGCACTTAAGTCTAGAGAATGTGTAGGAATTTAGAGGACTCTACTTTCAGGAAGTGCTTTCTGATAAAGTATAGTATATTCAGAAGAAGGAATAAACCCTGAGGCTACGACTAGACTGCAGGCTTCTTTCGGAAGAAGTTTTTCAGGAAGAGCCCTTCTGAAAAAACTTTTTCCAAAAGAGAGCATCCACTCTGCCAAAGTACATCAAAAATGTGATCTGCTTTTTTGAAAGAGAGCGTCCACACTGAATGGATGCTATCTCACAGTTAAGCTGTGATTACTATGAATGGAGTGACCACCAGGGCACCTGTGCTTTTTCCTCTTTCCTCTTCTTTTGAAAGAACTCCCTGTTCCCTGTCCACACACTCTTTTTTCTGAAAGAGCTCTTTCGGAAAAAGGCTTCTTCCTCATAGAAAATGGTTTACCAATGCTGGAAAAAAACCCTCTGTTCTTTCAATTTTTTTTCAAAAGAACACAATTGCAGTGTGGGCATAAGTGAAGGTTTTTTTTTAAAAAAATGATTGATTTTCCAAAAAATCCTCTGTAGTGTAGACATAGTCTAAATGTTGCATTATCTTGGTTTTTTTGCAATATGTCAAACACAAACATGGTGTCTGAAGTGAATCATAAACATCTTAAAGTTATGAAATCAAAAACTAAAAGTATTGCCAAGAAAGAAAAATTATAATAATAATGGCAGACCAGATTCCTGTTCCTATTAGATTGACATAAAAGGGGATTTGTTTAGTCACTAAACATTCTTTGGATCACAATAGGACAACTATAACATTTCATTTTTATCCAGTCTCTTACATAGAAAATAAATGAAGTCATCTTACTAGCGGTATTGGGCAAAGGCTGGTACATGCTCCAATAGCAACTGGATATGTCAGCAGGAGATCCGGGCGACCCATATAAAATCCTACAAGTGCTCCCAAAAGTACTTTCAACACTTCCCCCAAAAAGGCTTACATAAAAGGTATGTTTTCAACAATCTGTGTGATTAAGGATGTGGAAACACAATAGATAGGTATATTGCCATACTGTGCAAAGTGGCTGACTCACTGGATTATCAAATTTTAAAAGATATATCTAATTTGTGGTAGATTAGTAATAGGGATGAAAAATGAAGACCATATAATAAGAATGCTCAGAGAGCCCATATTAACTCTATCCAGACCCAAAGACCTGTGTAAAGATAGTGAATACTTTTCTATCCAAATTCAGAGAATAAATGTAGCAGGGACAATGGTAATATACCAAATAGCAAAGAGAAAAATATGAAAAACAAGAAAAATGTAGCAAAACATGTGCAAAAGCAAATATAGGTTGAACCTCCCAAATCTAGTACTTTCTGCTCTGGCAACATCTGGGGTCCAGCAAGGCCACAGTTGGTGCTGGACCAAAGAGCCCCAGGAAAGTGAGGCCTGTGGAGTCTGGGGTGGGCCAGCAGCAGCTAAGAAAGGGTAGCCTGGCATTAGCCAGGCCAGGCAGCATCTGAGAGCCTCCGCCCTGGCCGGGGAACCCCCAGTGACAGTGGGGTCAGACAACTGGAGAGCCCTTAGGAGCGGGGCTGCCAGTGACTGGGCGGTCATGGCCAAGAAACCCTGGATACTCCATGGTGGCAGTGAAGAGTCCCTAGAACTGCAACCAGGGAACCCTGGCAGTGGGGCCAGGTCACAGCTGAGAGTCCCAGCCAGTGTTCCCTCTAAGCTGCATGGCAGCACAGCTCCACAGAGCCCTGAGCTTCTGACCAGGCAGTGCTGATTAATCATCTGTGAAGCTGTGCTGCCCCACAGCTTAGAGGGAACACTGGTCCCAGCCCCAGCAAGGGAAGCGGAACTGGCCTGGCGGCCCCAGCCAGAAAACTCCATGAACCTACCTGTGGCAGTGGGGTCAGTGGTGGCCGGGCAGCCCTGGCCAGGAACTCGCCGGGGACAACGGAGCCAGACCACAGCAGGGGGGCAGGTGGCAGCCAGGGCTGGG